GGTTTTTTTTTTTTTTTTTTTTTAATCACATCGTGTAAAGACACTGAAGAAATTTTCCAGCGCTACTTTAGAAAGTGGCAAGAATGATGGAGTGAGTTGTTCAAATTCAAGGGATTCATGAAAATGGGACTTTCAATGTAATAAATTTTTCAAAAAATTTAAAACCATATATTTTGATCACATCCTATATCTTCTTTAGTCAGGTGTCTGTTCAGATATTTTGTCTTATTCTTAACGGTTTGTTTTCTCAGTTTTAACAGTCCTTTGTATGTTTTAGATAAGTGCTATATCCGATATATTCTGCAGAATTTTTTTCCCAGTCTGAGACTTTTTGTTCCCATAAGTTTTTTTTATTATTACTGATGTACCAGCATCACTGTTAGTAGCTATCAGCAGCTTCCATGTGACCATGTATTAATACCAGCTACTGTGCTAAGCAGTTTGACTATGTTTTCTAATTTAACCCTCAGAATAGCCTTCAAGGATAAATCATATTGCCTTCATTTTACAAAAGAGCAAAGCACATAGTAAGAACAGAAAATATTTAAACCCAGTTCTCTCTAGTTGACCCCAAAATCATGGCTTTTCCATTCTGTTAGTCTTAAACTGTGTTCTATAAAACCGCAGCTTTCCTTCAGATTATCAGGAGCTGCCCTGTGTAATAACAGGGAAGTTATGGGGGAAGAGTTCATCTCTGCCTCGCTTTTCTGTATCAAGTTCTAGGTACATTGTGTCTTTGAAAACACCTCCCGGCTCCCACAGCCTGCTCTGCCAGCCCCTCTTCCCTGCCTTCTCTGTGCAGCACCAGCCTCCCCAGCGAGCACAGTAGGTTCTCAGGCAGGCGGCCCAGGTGACTCGCCTGACCAGGCCTGTCGCAGTGTTTTCTGTATCTTCTGACCCTGTTGTTTTGAAATCGCCTACTTTCTGTCCTTCTGCTCCACAAGATAGCATGCATCAGGGCCACAGGCAGCGCATTATTTTTTGTATCTCAGGCCTATGTGCTCTGCTGAATGGACCCTGAACCCTGTGCTCCATGAAATGGAAGCAACCCTCATCAGGAGTGGGGTGGTTGTGTCTCATTTTAAATAAAAACATGTGCTTGGAAATCTCAAGGTTTTAATTCAGATTTTGAAATGAAATTGCTGGCAAAATTATTTATTTGGGGGTTTCTCTAAATCACTCTTTAATAATTTAAATATTAGTAATTTTTATTGTGAAAAATAGTTGCAAACTTACAGCAAATTTTACAAGTACAATAAAAGAACTTTTTCCCCCTAACAATTTGAAAGTAAATTGCAAAGCTGATGCCTTTGAGTGTCTCGTGTGTACTTCCTGAAAACAAGGACATTTTCTTATTTTACCACAATACAGCCATCCATAGCAGGACTATAACGTGGATACCTTGCTTTCATCTACTTCTGGTCCCTCATTCATGCTTCACTACCTGTTTCAGCCACGCCACAGGACCCAGGGGAGAATTGCCCGGGAATTTACTCCTCATTTCCACTCCCTTTCCTTGACACTTTTGAAGATTTCAGGCTGGCTGTTTTCTAGCACATCCCTCAGTTTGGTTTAATCAAGTGTTTCTCGATAATTAGGTTTAGGTGAGACATCTTTGGCAGGAGCATCACAGAAAAGTGTGACTCTCCATATATACATGGGGACTCAAGGAACACATTTTCATCCGTGTCTAGACACTGAAAACTTCAAGTTCACAGCAATCCTTTTGGTTTTATCCAGCACCAGCGTTCATTCTACTTCTTGTCCTTTCTAAAATTTGCAGTTTCCTTTTCTTCCAGTAGGAAGCCCAGATTGCATTAGCTTTAGTGCATACTCTTACCGCCCACCTCTGTGTCGCCTGCTCCCAGCTCCTCTCAGGCGTGTACCTCCCTCACTGAGCTTGGGTTCTTTTCCACCCTCTGAGACTATTTTTCACTTACTGGATGAGTCTCGCTCAGCCTCATAGTCCTTGCCATAAATATTGAGATCCAGTGTGTCATGAGGAATTTGAATTACAAAGTTTAGGTTTCTATCAAATTTTATAAAATTGCATACTTTTTTCTTATAGGCTATTTTAGTAAAAGCAATAAATCAGAAAACAAGAATCACTGCAGCTGTAAAAACCAATTCCTTATTTTGTACTTAATTCATTATAAAATATATAAAGCTCGTATGTATAATTCATATGTACATTTTACAGATGATGAATATTGCAAAGAGCTTTCCTTGTACCCAGCTTAAGAAATATGGCAGCGCCTGTAATTCAAGGCCCCTAGGGTACCAGTCTGATTGCATTCCTCTCCTTCCTTCAAGGAATAAGAACATTACAGAATTTTGTATTACTTTCCATAATAGCTTTTTTGTTAATATTTTTTATAGATTGCTGTTGTTGCTGTGATGTGTAAACCCCACAGATGCCCACACATAAGTTTTACGGGAAACATATGTGTGTAAGTATGGTGATTTCAGTAAGTCGCGTGTGTATTTTAACTAAGCCAACAAATTCTATAATGATCATTATGTCCTGGTAATGTTTTAAACTTCAATTTAATAGATTTATAGGTTAGGGCTCTGAAACAAGCAACCATCAGTAGATATTTCAGTACTTTTAAAATGGAACATACAAATATTTTTGATTTATTACAATATTAGAAAAAAATACATAGGTTTTGTTATTTAGATGAGTAGACACTGTTAACCGGACAAATAAAATGTGGATGTTTGAACTGCTTCAATTCCAATGTCAGAAATTTAAATTTGGATTAGAAAATAATTTAAAAATACAAAATTTTAAAAGTGATATATAATTATAAGTGATGGTTAGATTTCTCAAATTTAAGTATTTGGAATAATTAGCAGAAGCATCTGCCTAACTCTAGGTAGGAACATTAAATGGGAGAGAGTTTTTCCTGAATGTGTTATAAGGGAACACTCTGAGTATTGGTTCAAACTAATTTGAAAATGAATGTAATAGTATTCCTTTACGTAGTCATCTTGTTTACTTACTGGTGGAAAATGCATTATTTGTGAATACCACACAGGTTGGCTGTTACGTTAGGGTTTGAGTTGAAGCTCATTGGATTCCAGGATTTGATGGAGACTGCTGATTCTTGAACTAAGTTTCCTATCTGATCTCTTCTTCTTTTACTGTACTGGCAGATACTGCCCCGGTGGACCTGATTCAGATTTTGAATATTCAACCCAGTCCTACACTGGATATGAGGTAAAGCAATTTGAAGTTTTCATCATATTTTACCCAAAGTGTGGCTTTACCAAGTCCTAGCTTTCTAAACAGTTTTAGCTTTCTTTTCTGATTATCAAAGACGTTGATTCACCAAATAGTTGCTCTGTTTTTCCTGTGCCATGCGTTGTTCCAGTCACTGGAGAAACACTCATGCAATCACTTACTACTGATAAATTCCCACCACTGAGCTAGGTGCTTTACCACGATAAATCTTACAGCAGTATTTGGGACATAAATGCTGTGGCTGCCCCACTTTTACAGGTGCAAATGCTGGGGCATAGAAGCTTAAACAGCTGGTGCAGACACTGCCAGCATGTGGCAGCTCTGCACTCTTATCTCTGTGTCTGCTGCCTCTTTGGCAGCAAAAAGTGAAATTGCCATTTGAACAGTGGAAGATAAGCAATGAGGAAAAAAGAACATCAGATGCTAACAAATGCTGAGCAGAGAAGTAAAATTAAGTGAGGCCATGGGTGCTGTGGGGGTTAGGAAGGGATTCTCTGAGGAATCCCGAAAGACCAGCAGGAAGGTGCATGCATAGCACAGAGAACGGCCAGGAGAAAGGGCCAAGGTGGGATTGTGGGGGTGCCTGGAGCATGGGGAAGTCGGGGAGACTGTGAGGCTGCAGGACGTATAAAGTAGTGTGTGAAAAGCAGTATTCTGCACCTGCTGTTCCACTTTACAGCATATCTCAGAGAACATTGTTCATCAGCACATTGTTTCATGGTTGTAGAGTGTTCTGCTCAAAGACAGGAGCATCGAGGCTCTTTGTTAAATCATTAAAACCATGTGTCCCGAAGAGCCTCATTTATAGGTCATTTTGCCACATAAATCTTTTTAGTTTGTGTGCACATCTGTGTGAGCAGTGGAGCATTTTGGAGGCTCAGGGGATTTCATAAGCATTTACACAGAGGCAGACGAGGTCCCAGGAGTCACCCTGCTGTCGAGGTTCTGCTGGCGGTGGGGGTGGGGCTCCCCAGATGCTACACAGGGCAGCATTTTCAACTCTGATGAGACCGAGAGAACAGAAGATGGGCTACGAGGAAGGTTGTTAGTATGCAAAACCATAGAGAGTTTTATTTTTTAATACATCTTTTCAGAACTAATTTTAAATTGACAGCATTAACAGAATATTGTTTTTTCTTAGCCAACCTCCATGCGAGCTATTCGTGCTAGATATGACCCTTATCTGCAGACGAGACACCGGATAGAACAGGTAAATTTCGAAAAAGCATTTTTTAAATTCTTTGAATTATTAGTACATAATGATTTTACAAAATAGTGGGTCTCGCTATGGTTATTTTCTTACCTGCATATAACATATCTTGTTTATATCCATCCCCTTAATGCCTTCCCTTGCACCCCTGAAGTAATATTTTCAATTAAATTTTTACGCTTAATATAAGAAGGTATGTTGCTTCATTATGGGATAAAAGCTAAGTGTATTTCTCCTTTCTAAGTTGTTCATACTTGTCCAAGGGAAGGAGACTATTTTGCCATGTGTGACTGGTCAAAAACACTACTTTCTTTGGAGACGGCACTGTTTCTTCAAGGGTTTTAGTCTGTAGAAAGTCACGTGGTCTGAAATCTGTGCCATGAAAGTGTGTGAAAGTTCTTGGAGGATAGCGAGTAGATTGAGGTTTAGATTCCGTGAGCTGGGCTGAGAAGTAGTGTGACAGGTTTGCCAGGTAGGAATTGAGGAACCTCGGGGGCTTACTGAGTTGTTTTATATCATGACTTTGGTGGTGGTCATAATATTTAACTGAACATTTACCAAAATTCACCCATTGTCCATTTAAAGTTAGTGGGTTTTATTGCATATAAATTAGATGCCTACTTAGCTGATTAAAACCAAGTACTATGTGAGTGAACTTGTGCCGTTCTGGAAATCTAAACATGGATGTACAGATTTTCTTTGTTTACTACTTTTTAAACTTGTGCAGTTTTTAAAATGTAAGACATCATTTGTAGTTGTTATGGCAACATATGGCAGGGCAAATGTAAGGTCTGAAATAATAAGTGGTATATACCATACTCAGTAAAGTGCTTCAGGGTTTATTTAACTATTAGTGAATACCATCTGGTTCTGATTTTCACTTCATTGTCATCCAAGCATATGTGGGACAAGATTGTCAGCAAAAGGAGAGGGACCCCCATTTCGGGAGCCTACATAGCTTAGAAAAGTATGTTCTAAACCAAGCTTGGCTTCAGTTTTGGTAGTCTTTTTTTAAAGCTATCATATTTAACTCATTGAAAATGCAGAACCATGTTTCAACAGAGTGTGGAATGTTTGTTTACTAAAAAAGAGCCTGAGCTTTAGAGATTTAGAAACTAAAATAGAGCAACAATTCTTTTCTAACTGTATGTGCATCATAATCATTGAGCAACTTCTAAGACATAGGCAGATATTCACCTCTGGAGTCTGGCAAGATTATTTTGAAAATGCCATCACAGTGATTTTGATGTGTACTCCTTGTAAACAACTGTAGATATAGAAATACAATGCTCTTTTAGTGTTGAAGTATAGATACAGATATAGATAGATACACACACACCCATAGTATGAATTGTTATTTGCCATATTCGGAAAACAAGTATAAAAAGGTGCCCTTCTGCCTATAATTAGTATAGACAACCTTACATAGTATATTAATTCTAGTTTATAATTCGGCACTCTGCTTGACCACCCTGGTTTCCTCAAGGGTACAGCAAGAAATTTAAAACCCTATTTTTAAAAATTACAATCTTGGCTTATTATAGTTGACAGAATGAAAGATTTGTGCTATTATTTTGCCTAGTAGAAGAGACATAATATTTCATTTTTAATCAATCATTCACTTCCATGAGTTTTTTCCTCCTAGAAAGCAGGCTTGAGGGGTCATCTGTGCCTGCAGTCTTCTATTGTAAACTGATTTCTTGATTTTTCTTTCTAATTTAGTGTTCTCTTTTCTTATCTTATGAAGTCCTGATTATGCTGTATACTCATGTATGCATAACTGTTTCATAATCAGAAATATATCCTTTTTGTCCCCAAGGCTTACCGCAGATTCTGACACAAAATGTATGACCTATAAATATTTATTATATTGCATTTGTATTATATTGTCTTTACTGCTTTCTGGTTTATATTCCTTGTGTTTTTAAGTTTCTGTATAACTCTAGGTATTGAAGTCAATCTTTTCATTTATTTTTCAATTTCTGCCTTCCTTATTTAAGCCCTCATTTTTATCTTTCAGACTTTTTTTTTTTTTTTGGTGCCAGGGATTGAGCTCAGGTCCTTGTGCTTACGAGGCAGGTGCCAAACCACTGAGCTAAATCCCCAGCCCTCTTTCAGACTTTTTTAATCCACAGAATTAGCTAAATATGTTTGATTGCTTTTCACCTTTAAACTGTACTAATACATTTCAACTTCTAACTATTTTATTGCAAAATAAAATTAGGTGTTTTGCACCCTGTTAGAACCGTTGCCTGCACCTTCCTAATGCGGATGAATTTATGTTTCTTTCAGTTAAAACAGCTTGGTCACAGTGTGGATAAAGTGGAGTTCATCGTGATGGGTGGCACTTTCATGGCCCTTCCGGAAGAATACAGAGATTATTTTATTCGAAATTTACATGATGCCTTATCAGGACATACATCCAACAATATTTATGAGGCAATCAAGTAAGAAATTATTCTTTTATCACACTCTCCAAAGTGGTTGCCAGTTATCCTTTCAGAAGTATGCTTCTAGGAAAGCTTCTGTTCTGTGTTCCTCTATTCTACATCCACATCCTTATTTCTTCTACTCACCCTTGTTTTGTGGGAAAGGATCATTTTGACATAATCTTTTTAAAAACTGAATGAATGCGTGAATGAATGAAAAGACTAGCCAGGCTAATGGGACATGCCTATAATCCCAGCGACTCAGGAGGTTGAAGCAGAAGGACTGAAAGTTTGAGGCTGACCTTGGAGGCTTAGTAAAACCCTGTCTCAAACAAATAAAAAAATATCCATTGATATAGTATTCTAAAATAGAGAAATTCCCTGGGTGTGGTGGTGCACACCTGTAATCCCAGCACTCAGGAGGTGAGGCAGGGAGATCACTGGGAGTTCGAGAACAGCCTGGGCTACACAGTGAGTCCCAGGTCAGTCTCAACTACATAGTGAGACCCTGTCTCAAAAAATTAAAAAAAAAAACATAAAATAGAGAAATTCACAGCATACGGTCTATAAAAGTTCTTTTCAGACTTAAGCTAATCTGAACTACTATCCAAACTAGGACTAGTTTTGATTGAGCTGGATACTCTTATCAGAAACATTTAGCTGCTATAAAATCAACAAAACAAGTGACTGTTTTCAAAACCTAATTTATTAGTGACTTTTATAACTGTTACATAATTTCTGTTCATGAATGGGCTCTTAGTCTGTTTTGTGCTGCTGTAATAAAATACCTGAGCCTAGGTAGTTTATAGTCGCAGAAGTTTATCATCTCATCCTTCTTTGAGGCTCAGAAATTCAATGTCAAGGTATTAGCATCTGGCTAACAAAGGACCTTCTTTTTGTGTTAACAAGTAACATTAAAAAGGGATCTGATTTACCTTCTTGTAGCAGTGGTATCTGGCCCAGAGGGCTGAGTCCTCATGGCCCAACCACCTATGGAAGATCCCATCTCTTAATACTGTTTCATTGGCAACTAAATTTCAACGTGGGGTTTGGAGGGGGCAAACATTTGAACCATAGTAGATTTTATTTACTCATTCTGAACCCTAATCAAAAAAGCAGAAGACAAATTATGAATTCTTTTGATACTTTGTATGCCAATGTTTAGTAGGAAGAGAACCAAGGTTTTATATAAAATTCAATAATTTAAAAAGTAAAAGTATTAAAGTAGTTTGTTTTTTTTTTTATTTTCAGATGTTTTGAGAATACTCTGGTAGCTATTTGTTTGCTGTTGTTTTTATTGTTGTACCAAGCTAGAGCAAGCTAGGTACTAGGCACTGTTGTGGTAAGAGAAACATTGTTCTTGTTCTGCTGCTGAGCATGCTGCAGAGGGTAAATGCTGCAATGTTGAGGGACTGCTGTGATCGACAGGACTGGACTGGAAAGAGGAGTCAGTTGGGCCTCAGCAGAGGGGATGAGATAGAAGCACCGAAGTGGGAAGCAGCTTGAGGAGCAGTCGCTGGATTGGGTGCTATGCGCTTAATCTCTGAACTTTAGAAGAGAGCCCAGTGAACAGAGGGAGAATGCCAGATTGCACCTACTTGGGAGGACAGGAAGTGTTTTTTGAAATGCAGCGGGAAGGCAGATGGCTCCAAGAAGAGAGGGCCGTGTTCGAGTTCATGGGTAAGGTCATGGCAGCTACTGTTGGCTAATGGTTTAGAGGGGTGCAAGAGTGAAAGGTGGAGGCAGATAGGACCGTCAGCTATCTCAGGATGGTGGTGGCAGCTCGGTGGAGAAGAGGTTGGGGTAGAGGGGAGGAATCCAGCATGGCAGTTTGGGCTGTAGGTGGTGCGGTGCGCTGAGATGGAAGAAGCTGAGAGAAGAGCAGGTTGAGGGAGGAGAACCGAGAGATTTTCTTTGGGTACGTTAGGATTGAAATGCCTGTGGTGCATTCAAGTAGAGGTGTCTGGTAGGCTACAGAAATTATAGGATCCTGCGCTGGTACAGGGGGTGACCAGCTCATAGGTTCCATTTCCAGCCATGTAAGGGAAAGCTTCAGGTCTCTGGGGTGCACTAAGTGAAGGAGCATGTGCAGAGAGATTTCTTACACTATGGTGCCATCAGTGTGTGTCCATGAACGTGTGTGTGTGTGTTTGTGTGTGTGTGTGTGTGTATTTGGGCGGGGCGGAGCAGTAGAACTGTAGTCCTCAGAGGCCTTCGAGCTGAGGAAGAAGAGACATGGAAAATAGGAGAAAAGGAGTATGTGTACGTTTGCTTTGTAAACAGTGCCAGGCCTTGTGACAGGTGCTTGATTCATTTATTTCATATTCAGAGTAAGAGTTAAGTATTTAGATCGTCTCTATTTTACAGATGAAAAAGCTGAGTCAAAAGAGAGATGAAGTAACTTGTCCGGAGCTATGAAGGGAGTTAGTTGGTGGCAGAGTGGGGCATAAACCCCAGGCAGGAGCTGGGGGTGTTACTCAGTGGAGTGTTTGCCTGGTATGCACAAGGCCCCAGGTTCAAGCTGCAGCACCACAAATAAATAAAAAGAAAGAATAGACCCCAGGCTGCTTTGCTTTCAGAGCCTGACCTTTACTCTAGTGCTTAAAAGCTGTTAGGTATAACAGTCATGCTGTGTGTACTGTATATGTATGTATTTATATGTGTGTGTGTGTACCCATGAGTACATCATCGGAGCTTGAAAGTATCAGAAGGAATGTGGTCTGTAATCGCTGCCACCTCCAGGCTTGTGTCTGGCTTCTCATTTATGAGAAAAAAGGAGGAACATCATACAGCCAATTATAAGGCTCTGGAACTGCCCCTCTCAGAGTTTTTGTGTGGGGATAGTAGGACCAGATTTTGAGTGGAGAGAGGCTGGCTTTATTACCCTGAAATTAAGCAGTTCTTAATACATAGCAGGCTTAAGTAAATGTGTGACTAGATTTTGAATGAATGATTAATCTGTAGGTCAAATTTGACAGCTGCTGATGTTGGTAAGGTTGCCTTTTGAAATTGGGGATAGGGACATCTTTGTATGCCATCCCTGCTTCCCCTGTTGGTCTCCTTTGAGTCTGTAAAACATGGAAAGAACAGAGAGGCTTTTTCATAAATTTAAATAAGTACCAAGGGCAGCTTGAGGGGCCTGTGTAGAGTTGGCTGTGGGGCAAGTGTGCGTGGTGATTAACTCTAGGTATGCGACAGGTGAATTTTTTCTCCGAATCCAGACTTTTTGCAGTGTGATCTGCTCCCCCAGGGGCATCAGTAGGATGAAACAGGAACTGTCTTCACCATGCCTTCAAAACCTTAATCACTCACGAATGTGAGTCATGTTTAGTAAAACGCTGAAGTCTTCACACTTTAGTGGAGTAATGATGTCGTCCAGCTCATCCTCTTGATACTGAAAAGTCACATGACAGCTTTGATAAAATTCGATTGAGGAAACAAACTTCATTAGTTCAAAACCACAAGACTTTAGAGTGGCAGTGGTGCCTCAGAGGGTCACAGCTGACATTCAGTGAACCTGGAAACTCCCCTAGCAGAGTGGCCGTCCCAGGATTATGTAGTTGTGCACTCCTCTCTCAGTGCATGTTTTCTTGTGCCTAGACCTTGCCTGTTAAGTGGAATCGAGCTACAAGTATCTTAAATATATGCTGCCCACATACACCGGCTTCCATACAGCAGGTGGCCCCAGCCAAGGCGTGTGGGGAGTCTCTAAGACTTAGCTGACTTGCCATTGTCGTCGATTGAAACTTTAACAGAATTGCTTCATTCTTGAAGTGAAGCTTTGTGGAGAAATGTTCCAGTGCCGTTAAAATGAGTGAACTTCACATCACGATGTGTTGATCCACAAAGCCCTGGGGAGAAGAAAGCCTCTTTCGGTAATGGAGAAGGCAAAGCCAGTGTTGTTTTGTTTCTATTCTTGAATTTACCTCAAGAGGGCAACAAACACTTTTACTTTTCACCTAAAAATTTATATATGACTTGAGTCTTCCCTGCAACAAATCTCGTGAATGGCTCTTAGGAAATAATAAAAGTGCAATCCGGGACCCATAAAACCATCCCTAATGCTGCCTTGAGCCCCTGCCAGCCCACACTCTGCGTTTCGCCCTGTTCTCCTACTCAACTATATTTTTATGAGAGCGTTAAAAAAAGCCAGCTTGTGAACTCTTGTTTGCTTTGTCAAGATGAATTTTTTTGCTACCACCTCCCTGAACCAGAGCTGGTGTTTGTTTTGGGGGAAATATTTGAACAAGTGGTCTGACTTGAACTAGAGAACTAGATAAGGAAAATTATTTTCAAATGTGAGCATCATTGTGAAATACCAGGCAGCCCAGGACAACTTGGGTTTTGACACAGTGTCCTCAAGATTTTTGGATTCCATCTTGCTTTTGCCCACTGTATTAAGTCATGCAGTGTTAATGAAAACTAGCTGGTTTTCCCACCATGGCTGGCCTCCCATGGAAGTAAAGTGATGAAACTCAGGTTTATTTTGCAACTAGTTATTAGATGTTTATACTTGCTAGCTATACAAGTATCATTAACTTTCATCAGCTAAGGGTGTTGCTAAAGATTACTTTAAAACGAGGTTGAAGATTATGTACTGAGGCAGACGAGTTGACAGTGTTTAAGGGTAAAAGTCTTTGTTCAGTCTGGGATAAGGCTTCTCCATTAGTCCTGGTGCCCCTGCTTTGTTTCCATGTGCCTAACCTGCTAAAGATTTGCCTCTTACAAGATCAGGAATTAGGGTGAAGAAAAACTCCAGCAAGGAGAACCTGGTTATTTGTGGCCAGTTAGTAGCAGGCAGCAAGTAACATCCCTGCAGGTAGGAAAACTGGAAAGCTGAATAAAGGGAGACCCGTTCAAGGACAAAGCAGGTACAGCCTCTGGGCAGGTGCATTGCATTGAGCACAGCGCTAAATGCTCCTTACTACCAGCTCCTCTCCCTCCAGAGGGTGACAATTACTGGGTACTGTCATCCCTAAGATTCGTAGCTCTGGAGATGATGAGGACCTACAGACCTGAGTCATCCATTCACCAGGATGCAAATGTTGCTAAATAACTGAGAACAACCTTTTAAAGGAGTTTTATTGCTTTTTAATCAGCTCTGCCCAGAAGCAGGTTCACATTCAATCTTTTCACAAGATGCAATTTAAAAAGGGTAGCTGCCCATCAAGGAGTGGGTGAGTCACACTTGCTCCCTTGGAATTTTTAATTCATTTCCGTTCCTTCTTTTTCCCCTCACCAGTGCCTTTAAATCCTCCAACTGCATCCTTATTTGTCTTGGAAAAGCTAGAGTGCTGGCTAATGCCGGGAGCTAGGCTTACAGAGCTATGAGGGAAGCAAAGCAACCTAGGAGGCTTGAAAGTGACTATGTCTTGCCTTGCTGCTGTGCCTCAGACCCTCCTGAATTTCTGGGCTTTGAATCTGGTACTCCCTGCAACTCATTTTATATGTTGGCCACTTTACTTACCTTGATTTTCATAAATGGTCCTTAGCAATGGCTAAGCAACTTAAGATACAGATGACACTAGTTTTTCTTCCAGCATTTTATTTGGAACAAAAATTGAAAGAATTTCCCAGTAAGCATCCATATACCTGCCACCTAGATTCTATAATACCTACGTACTTTATCTCGTCTGTCCATTTCATTATCCATTCATCCGTCTCGTGTGTGTGTGTGTGTGTGTGTGTGTGTGTATACACGCGCGCACACGTTTCATAGTAAGTTGCATGCTTTACTGTACTTCTTTCCAGATACGTACTTTTTCATGTATTACCTGTGTTTATTGTTTGGTGTTTTTCTTTTGAAGTAAATTTGCATATAGTGAAATATACGGATCTTAATTATACCAGTGATTAGTTTTGACAAATGTATATACCTATGCAGCAAAGCCCTGTTAAGAGATAGAACATTATCATTATCCCAGAAAGTTACTTTATGCCCTTCTCAGGAAATGTTCACTTGTACCTTCCAGAGGCAGCTGTTCTGATGCTTTCCCTTACCTATTGCTTCATCTGTTTCATAGGTAGATTTTTGCCTGTTCCAGAACTTCATATAATTGGAACCCATCTAGCATGGAGTATTTCATACAAGGCTTCTTTCACTGAGCATAGGGTTTTTTTCCATTAAGTTTATCGGTACATTTTAGGTATACAGTACATTTGAATTCATCATTGGGATCTTGTACCTTTTCATGATATAAAAAGGTACATCTTGGTTCTTATTTTTCCCCATTTCCCTGCCCTCCCTTCACCCCCTCCACCTTCCCTATTTACAAAGACTTTGTTTCCATTTTGTCCTTTTCTTACATTTTTTCTTTCCCCTTCTTTCCCCTACCCCTCCCACTTCCCCTATTCCATTAGACCTTTTCTTTCTATTTCACATTATCAATTATACATTTCGATCCTTATTTACACTTTTAGTTTTTCACACCAGAGAAACTATTCAGTATTTACACGTGTGTGTCCTATGTATTTCACTTAAGAACATGGCCTCAGTGTGCATTCATTTAGCTATAAATATCTCTAGTTTCTCAATTCTTTATGAGTATAGTGTTTTGAGATTCATCAGTGTTATTAGGAGTTTAGTACTTGCTATCTTTTTAGTGCCGAGTAGTATTCCATCGTGTGCATCAGCCAGTTTGTTTATCCTTTCTTCTGTTAATGGACATTTGGCTCTTTCCAGTTGTTAGCTATGTGTAAAACTTCACAGAACATTCTTATTCATGTCTCTTTGAATATATGTATTTATTTCTCTGGGTTGTAACTAGAATTGCTAGGTCTGTTTAGTTTTATAAGAAACTGTCAGCCGTTTTTCCAAATGATTGTATCATTTGTACTCCCACCCATGATGGCTGCACACTCCATTATTCTGCGTCCTCAAGAACAAGTGATGTCACCAATCCTTTTGGTTTTGGGGTGTGTGCACTTGCGCTGGGGCCTCACCCGTGCTATGCAAATGCTCTGCCACTGAACTGTACCCTCCTCAAGAGACCCGCACCTGTGCCTTCCAGAGGCAGCCATTCTGATTTTACCGGTATCTAATCTGGTACTGCATGGTGTCGATTTCTGTAGCTTCTTACTATGTCTTGAAGTCAAGCAGTGTAAATCTTCGTCTTTGTAATTGCTTTTCAAGACTATTTTAGATAGTCCTAAGTCCTCTATATTTCTTTATAAAATTTAGAATCAGCCGGCTAATTTCTATTAAAAAGTGTGATGGCGATTAGAGAAAATTGACATTTCATTGTCTTCCAGTTCAGGAATATAGTCTGTCTCATTTATTTATGTCTTCTTGAATTTCTCTTGTCAATGCTCTGTGCAGAGATTTTTATAAGCCTTCTGTAAAATCTTTTCATAATATTTTTGTCAGTGCTTCATAATTGTATTTTAGGTTGTTGGCAGCATTATGCATGCAGTTGATTTTTGTATGCTTACTTCATATCATAAGACCTTACTAAACTCACATCCTGACTTGAATTTTCTTAGTGCTGTATCCTTGGATAAGCTGTTCTCTTTTAACTTCAATGTCTTCTACAAATAGGACTCACAGAGCTGGTGCAAGCACTACACACTGTGAGGGCCCATGGCCCCGTACTTGGCCCAGGGTGGCCTCATCACAGTGGTTTTCCATCCTTTCAGTTCACCAGCCCCTGAGCGAGTGATCAGCATTAAGACCATAAACTCAGTAGCTGAAATCTAAAGCGATGCTCACTTTTCTGATACCTGCTTCTTGTGGACGACAAAAATGTTTTCTGCTTTTATAAATGACTACTAAGAGTAATAGGCTTAGTAGAAAGACTTCTGTATGAGTAGAAGACATTTTATCTAAATTATGCCTAGGATCATTACACAGATTCTCCCTCCCCTTTTTTTTTCCTCTTATTTAAAATGACTCTGAAACAGAGTGGGAAATAAATAATACAGATGGTTTTCACTGATCTGAAAAATGGTTGCTAGGAATTGAAAAATAGGTTTTCACAGTTGAAATCACTGTTTTCCAGAAGATTATACTTGCACACTACGTGAGAATAATGAGGATAATGATAGTGACATTATAAACTACTAGTTCAGTCATGTCGGTCCTGTGAGGTGCAGGTGCTGCTATTATCATCATTTTGCAGATAAGGAATCTGAAGCCCAAAGAGGTTAATAGCATTGCCGTTTACATAGTTAGGAAGTAGCAGAGCCAGGATTTTAACTTCATCCACCTCCATAGCCTGCTCAGCACCACTGCCCCATCCTGGGTGGACTAGGAAGGCAGTCGTCTGAATGGAAGAAAACGAGCCAAGACCATAGCAGATCTGCTATTTTAAATGTGCTTGACAGGTATTCTGAGAGAAGCCTCACAAAGTGTATCGGAATTACCATCGAGACCAGGCCAGATTATTGCATGAAGCGCCACTTAAGTGACATGTTGACCTATGGCTGTACGAGGCTGGAGATCGGAGTGCAGAGTGTGTACGAAGATGTGGCCAGAGACACCAACAGGTGAGAGGGTGGCGAAAGATCTTGCACAAGTTGTCTTAGCCCTCTGCTCCCCAGTTTTCTCACATTCATCCACATTCTTCATTCCAGCCAGTCTCATCAGCAAAGGGTTTGGGATTCCTCCTTGTCACCTGTCTTTTCCTCTGCTCTGCTCTGCTCTTCAGTCCATCCCCTCTTCCCTCCTTTTCAGTCCTTGTCTATGCCTTCCTCTGGCAGCCTATAAACATGTGCATCCCACTTCCCTTCCTTGTCATAGACAGCTTTTCCCATGCAGGAAGCAGGCGGCTGTTAATTCATGTAATTTATGTAGGAAGTACCAATGTCCCATTAAGAAGTGAGTGGCAGTGTTTGGTGACTGATTAGAAATGAAAATAGTAAGTTTGGAGGGAGATAGATTTCATTTTGGATACATTAAGTTTTAGACATTAGTGGACCCTATATGACTACCAGTGGAAGGCTTGCTTTAGGGGAGAGCTAGCCAGTGATCAAAGTGCTCTATTAAGTAATTTGAAAATCACACATACCTAGCAGCTACCATATCATGCAGTGTAACTTTGAAGTTTGGATATTTTGATGTGGAATTCAGAAAATGGGCCTAGTCTTGTCACAGACTAGGACCTTGGGAGTCCTTAGTCAAGAGATTAGAAATTGGAGCCATGGGGACGGATGGGAAGGTCCAGAGGGAGTGCTATAGAACTGTGGTTTCTAGGATCTTACTGTGGTGAATGGGAATGTCCTGGTGGAGGAAGGGTTGCCACCAGGCTTCCCCCTTCAGTGCTCCGAACTGTTGGTGAGGCTGGCTTCCTACTTGGCTGTGGTGCTAGAGTGAGGATTTATCCCCGTGGCCCGTAGCAATCTAGCCTTCTAGCTAGCAATCTAGCAGTCTCTCTTTCCAGTTGTTCTTAGTTTAAGGACCCCCCCCCAGTGAAATCTGTTTTGTATTTTGGGGTTCATTGTTCCCCTCTCCCAGTAGTCTCACAAGATGTTTAACGGAAGGGGTACAGCAGCTTCTACGTGGTTTTGAGCTCATTGTTCTTGTTGTAACATGGGTACGTACATCAGTGAGTTTGTTTTAACTGATGGTACTTACCCAAATGACTGCGGTGCACATGAATTCTTAGCACCCATCATTTACTTCAGGACTATGCATAGGCACAGAAGGGGAGTTCTGAAACATATCTCCCAAATAAGATGACTTCTTTCCAGGCCTCTTCAGATTTTGCTTCCCAGCCGTACATTTCTTGGTCTCACAGATTGTCTTCCTCTGCTCCCCATGTTAACTTTGTTGCCCGTTTGTTTGCATGACAGTGGTGAATTTTCTCTCCTCAGGGGCCACACTGTCAAGGCAGTGTGTGAGTCATTCCACCTGGCCAAAGATTCAGGTTTCAAAGTTGTGGCTCATATGATGCCTGATCTGCCAAACGTGGGACTGGAACGAGACATCGAGCAATTTATAGTAAGTGTCAGAACCTCTGCACCTTGATTGCTTGTCAGCTGTTGATTTTCTCCATTACTGAAACGATACATCCTCATTATGGAATATTAGAGACGCAACAAAGAGAAGTCACCCACAGCCTCGGTGGCACACAAAGCTCTTTTAGTACATTCTTTCCAGATTTTTTCATGCTTAGTATTTTGAGGGGATGAGATTGTTTATGAGCATACAATACAGGCAGGCACTAGTCCGTGCCTATATACATATGGGACGGGTAATTCTTCTAGTAGCTTTTTTTTAACTTAACATTACCGTAAGCATTTATCTATGTTGCAGCCTGATCCCGTTAAGATGTTAACATACTTAAACGTCTCTCTGATTTAATCTGTCATACTTTACTAGTTCCACATTTTTTCCATATTTGAAGTCTAGCCCCACCACTTAGCAGCAGACTGTTTCACTGTGTCTTTCCTTGGTTTTTTCACCTCTTCGGTGAGGCCAGGACAGTATCTACCAATTGTGGAGATGACCGGGGTGCCCCATGTGACACCTGGTAAGATGCCTGGCACACCGGGCTCCGTAGTATGGAGCAGCAGCTGCTAGTGTGTCCTGTCCGGCCAGAGGTCCTCTCCTTCACTCCCATGTGGCACAGTGTCTCACTGTTCACCGCTGCCAGCCTTGCTCCCTTTGGCTGGTTTTGACAAGTTTTGGTCCCGTCCTATCCCCTCGCTCGGCCCCACAGTCTGCTGTGGGTGGGAGAGAAGTTGGTCCAGGGTTAGACTGCACCATGGGCAATCCCTGCCTAACTAACAGAGAAGTAACTTTCTGTTCTGTACTCACAGGAGTTTTTTGAGAACCCTGCTTTTCGTCCTGATGGTATGAAACTCTACCCTACTCTGGTGATTCGTGGCACGGGACTGTACGAGCTCTGGAAATCGGGACGCTATAAGAGTTATTCTCCCAGTGACCTGATCGAACTGGTGGCTCGGATCCTAGCCCTGGTTCCTCCGTGGACTCGAGTGTACCGAGTGCAGAGGTAGCGTGCTCTCTTACATTCCCCAGATAATTGGTGTCCAGTCTGTTTACATTTCTAATGGGAATGGTCTGATTTCATTGAATTGAATACTTTGAATTGTCTTATTAAATGTAGAATATCAGGAATGCTCCCTGTCAGGAGAGAGGGATGGAAACTGAAGGACAGCATGTCCAAGCCACTTGGCCTGCAGCGTGTTTCTTCACTCTTCTGTTCCTGAGTCCAGAGCTCGAGGCAGAGCCTGCTTCTCAGGAGCTTCGGCCCGGGTCAGGATTTCCTTTGGCAGGGCTCCTTCAGTCTAGATCCAGTGAGGGGAATGAGAGGCAGGTGAGAGCAGTGTGTCTTACCTGTGTTCTGGAGCCTCGGGAGGAAAAAGAAAAAGCAGGTCACTTGAGCGGATACCGTGTACATGTGGAAAATGCGGGACGTATTCCTGGTGCCATGGAAAATAATCTGTTTTCTTCCCAGGAGAGGGAGAATAAGATCATATTTGCAGTCTCACACCTTTTAAAATGTAATTTAATTATTTTACTGGAAAGATAACATTGAAGGAATATTTGAGAAGCCGTAAGATTACCTGCACACCTCCAGTCCTAACAAAGCCCTTCCTGTACTTGGCAGTCATTAAGATACATTGTCGCTACCCTGCCTGCACTATCATATTATAATAATTACAAGGCACAAAGGTGACCAGTAAAAGCATGTACGGTTAGTTGCTGTTGTTGAGCACGAAAATGCATTCCTGATCATGTAAAGTAGTGAATACTGAAAATAAGCAGAATTGCCGGCTACTTAAGCAAAATTGTCAAAAATATAAAATAATGCATTTACCTAAAGATCAGAAGACATTTAGACCATAATTCAGCCACAGCATACTAACTTCTCAGAATTTGGAAACCAGCCTTAACTCTAGGATCTAAGTTGCTTGCATGATCTCTGTTTTTAAAAAAATACTCAGGAGAGTTAGCTGTTGAAATCATTTGCAGCCCCTTTTCTCAACCCTGCTGGAATAATTCAGCCAGAAGGTATTAGGTGGGGCTGAGCAAGGTAGGGGTCCACACAGGGAGCTGGGAGCCGCAGCCCACGCAGGGTGTGGGGGAGGCAGGGGCGTGGAGCAGGCTGTTGAAGCCTGAATGTGGTGCTCGGGGCCGTCGTTCCTGCAGGGAGCTAACTGCTGTCAGAGGCAGAGTGGAGCAGCGTGTGGAGGGGGAGAAAGGCAGAGAAAAGCTTGGTGACTTACAGGGGTTAAGCTAATCAGTAGATACGTCAGGGGTCATAGGGACTCGGTTTTTTAGTCTATGAAAGCAATTACAGATGTGAAAACGCAAAGAAGGAAGTGAATGGTCTGCTGTTTTAGAATAGAAGATGCTGGTATTTTCTACACATAATTAAATGCATAAATGTAAATATAACACACAGCAATGAATCTGATGTGTGTAGTGAGTAGTATTTTATAGCTGTGAGCATTTGACACTGTATTCACACCTTGGTTGCTGAATGCCTGCCTTCACTAAAAGGAACCAGGGCTCTTTGGAGAAATGACTGATTTCAGGCCCGGAGCCTGAAAAGCACAAGATGAACCTGGAACCTTTTGTGCAAAAAGCGAGGAAGTATTCAAAGAAAGATGAGGAAGCCAGCTGAAAGGTCAAATTGGTCTCATTGGTCAAGTCTGGGGCAGTCTGAGCAGCAAATAAAATACTGATATTAACAATTTATAACCAATTAGATGAAATAGGAGCCCATGGTAAATGTAATTAGATCAGTGTGGTGTAAGTATGATTAAAAAACACACCAGCAGTCTTTGTGACATGCGGATTCAGTGTTTGCAGATCTGCCGATTAAATGTATTGGGCCTTAGAATCAACACTTCGGTACTTCTGCCACAAATCGTTTAGACGTGTAAAGAGCGTGAAGAATCTGAGTTGCTCAGCACACACCTTCTCAGCTGTGGTCGAGCAAGATGACCCTCTGTCTGCTTTTTCCAGCTCTCACACCATGACAGGTGTCCTTTCTGTAGTCTGCCTAGTGCTAAACATTTTTAAAACTTGTGCAGTTGGCTAGGGATTGACTCTGAAATTGCCCAAACACGGAGCTCAGGTGCTCTTACATACTCCTGAGCACAGGAAGGCCAGGATGTTCCTAGTGGAGAAGATACAGTGCTAGGTAAGCTCTGTCCAGGCCTGAGCGCAGGACTGTGGATGATGCAACAATGTACTGTACATGAAGTAAGGAGTCTTGAAACAAGCATGTAGCATAGCTACATATTGGTGGCCAGAGGCTGATAAATAGGATCTTAGCCCTATATTTTGTGGTTATATGGGAAAATATCCTCCAAAGAAGAACTGAAAGTATTCTGAGAGTGATGGTTCTTTGTGTAGGTGTGGGGAGTACTGGGGATTGAACTCACGCTGAACTACATCCCCAGCCTCCCCTGCTTTTTTGAATTTTGAGACAGAGTCTTGCTAAGTTGCCTAGGCTGGCCTTGAACTTGTGATCCGTCTGCCTTCACCTCCTCAGTGGCTGCGATTACAGGTATGCGTACGGCCAGCCTTTTTTGTTGTTCTTTTCAGTACTGGAAATTGAACCCAGAGCCTCGTGCTTGTTAGACGTGTGTGGCACCACCGAGCTACCTTCCCACCCCTTTTTATTGTCTATTTTCAGACACAGTCTTTTGAGTTTCAGCTTGCAGTCCTCGTGCCTCCGCTTCCTGAGTAGCTTAGATTACAGGTGTGCATCGCCACGCCCAGCCCGTGTTGACACATCTGGTAACATCGCTCAGATAGTTCAGAAAAATCATTATTTGTACTTTTTCCTGTGACTTTGAAATTGTTTCAAAAGATTTAAATTACTACAGCAGGAAACGGGAATGCAGTAAACAGCACTCAGTGCCAGAGACAAAGGACAAAGATCATTTGTGTTTAATGGACTTTGACCACCAGAGAACAGCAGACACACTTCCCAGCAGCAAAGCACAGCTGTCACACACTAGAAACCAGCCTCACATCTGGAGAACCGCAGTCGCCCACCCAGTTCTGTCCTTTGTTTTCAGCTTGAAATGTCTTACTGCTGTAGTCAGTGAGTGCAAAACAGCAGAGACACAGTTATCACATTGAAAGCTTAATGTCGTGGCCCTCAAGAAATCCCACCCTGGGCCATATTTCTGGTGCACCACAGCGGAGCAAGTAAGGTGTTGGAGAAACAAGGGCAGCAGATCTACTCTTCACGGTGTCAGTGAGGGAGGCAGAGGGCAAGCGTGCAAAGGCTTAGGGGTCTCAAGTAATACTCTGGTGCTTCACAAATGTGTAGGTGAATTAAAATGTAAAGGGACACTGTAAAACAGGTAGTGCTGATGTCTCTTTACAAGTGTTCTCTTGGCAACATCCCTGGTGAGTCTGAGGGTAACGTATTGTCTGAAGAGAGCAGTGACTCAGTCCCTAACACAGTCACGAGTCGCCGCCTCTCCAGCCGTGATGTCAGGATTTCAGCTTTGGCACTGATCCTTCACTTAACTCTGACGGCGATCATTTGCCAGACTCTTTAGTACAAAAACAAAAGTCTTTATGCTTTCTACTTTGTTTTTACATTTTTTTGATGTTTTACTAAGTATTCAATAAAACATTTGTTTTCTAGTAAGCATGGGGAGAATTCCTTCTAATGTCATCTTATTTTGTGTTTTCCATAGGGTATCACTGAACTGTTACTATGGCTACCTGAGTGAGAATTTGCATTCATTACATTTTCCTACTTGTTTTCTGCCTGATTTTATTTACATATTTTTTTTGTATATATGGTAGGCCCTCCATATCAGTGGGTTCTGAATCCACGGGTTCATTCATACTCGTATTAAAAATATTCAGAGAGAAAACTGTGTCTTACTGAACGTGTAAACACTGTGTTTCTTGTCATTACTCCCCAAGCAATATCTAAGCAGCTGTTTGCCTAGGAGTCACATTCTTTACATTAGGAGTTTTCCAGCCTTTGGAGACAGTGTGAGGTATAAGGAGGACTGCAGACATATTCCGCTCCATTTGATACCAGGCATTTGAGCATCTGTAGATTTTGGTATCTATAGGGGGTCCTGCAGCCGGTCCCTTGCACACATGAGAGGGTGGCTGAACTCCTTTAAAAAGTGACTCAAGGGCCAGTGATTCAGCCTAGTGGTTCCACCACCTGCCTCGCAAGTATAAGGTCCCAAGTTCAGTCCCTGGTTCCAAAAAGAAAAGGTAACTCAAATTTAATTTATACTCTAACTTTTAGTTCTCAATAACTGCTGAAACTTTAAACGCAGTTTGTGTTAGTACTGAGGTAGGACATGGGGCCTCATTCACCAGTCAGTATTTTATATCATGTACTTGTGGTCCAGTGTTCACCAATCTCCATACATTTCTTTTTAATGAGTTTATTCTTTGTTTCCAACAGTTTGCGGTATATTCCTAATGTCTAGAATTTTTTTCTTCCTCATTTCTAGCAATATAGTGCTATGTGAATAAAATTTTTCTCTATAAAAGTACTTTAAACAACTTCATTGTATGTGTTAGTAATGATCTTACATTTTCTCAAAATTTTTCTTGTGTCATTGGGATGCATCTTCACATGACAGCACATTTTGTATGCTGTAAATATTCTATTGCATACCAATTCTTGTTGAAGACATAGGTTGTGAAGTAGCTGTGAAAAGAATGACCCATGGTAAAGGATCTAGACGTCTTTTTTGCTTTTTTGGTTTCCATTATTATCATGTCTTAAATCCTTTCTGAAACAAGAGAAGTATAAATAAATGTCACAGGTTTTGCTATATCTATTGATGAGATTGAGGCATTAAACAAGCTTACCTATTTAGAGTACACAGTTACTGGTTTTATCACATCATCTATAAAATCGGATCCTTAGATTTTTATTTTAATTAAGGGTAAAAATTTGCATTTTCCTATTATTGTCTAAGGTTAACTTCATTCTGTTGTAACTGATTATCTGTTGTGTTCTTTGTGCACAGGTTATCTATA